ATCATGTTGTGCATTTCATCCCCGTCATCTTCCGGATCACCCTCAGAAGATGCCTCATGTTCAGAAGGTGCATCCATTGTGCCAGGAGTCGCGCCTGCGAACTGCTTGTGCACATCTGCCACTGAAAAGGTAGAAATGCTTGGGTCCACGCTGTCCGGGTTCAGCATGACATAGTTCAATTGCCTCACCTTCCCCTCGTCTCCAACCACCAACTGGAGCTTGTCGCACTGGAAATGAAGTAAAACAAGCTCTTTGGACGCCTTTTTTGAGATCTTGTCGGAGAAGTGCCTCTTGCCACCAGGTGAGTGCACAGTATTCTGAGCCACCCACGAAGGAGAAGCTTCTTTGGCTAAGCGGGTGTTCCAGCAAACACTGGCCCAAACTGGCATGGGCTGCTTCTGGGCAACCTGGTGCACATAGTTGGCCAACCGTTTCTCCAAACTGAACACTAGGGAAGCTGGCAGCAAGGCCCACTGGTCAGTGTCCGGGTTCTTGATCTCCCACAAGAGCACTTTCCTGTCCACTTGGTTCAATTCCATGTCATCTGCATTGGGGGCCGAAGCTCCTTCATATCCCAGAACGCCTGCAAGGCCTGATGGGTCGCACCACTGCTCTGATTGAGCAAAGTCATCATCAGTGGAGCCATTCATGGCTTTCATCTCTTCCAAAGAGACATGCCTGGTCCTGACCCAAGCCTTCTGCAAGAGAATAGATGGAAATTGCAACCAGTTGTCCACAACCAACTGGATACAGCTGTCCACAGAGGCCTTCTTGTAGGACTGCCCAGAAGTTCCAATCTGCAGCCTTAGAGTGGCTTTGTGCCAAGTGTGGCGTTACACTGGTCTTTTATGTACAGAAATGCATCCCTATATCTACCTACTATTTCACTTCCCCAACACATGGCGCATTAGCCAAACACTGTCTTGGAATTCTTTGTTTACATCTCTCCTTCTTCCAGAAACTTCTACTATCCTTGATTAAGACCAGAAGCCGGTAGAAGGGAAGTCTATCAAAAAGGCACTTGCTGAATTGCAGTTCTTTTTGGGCGCTTGCATCGTTCATGGACTTGAAGAACCCGTGGATTTGATCCTGCCACATGATGGGTTTAGAAAGGCACCCTCCTGGCGCAAAACTAGGCAACCTCTTTTCAGTCAGGGGGCTAGAAAACAAAAACCATGTTTCAATCCCGGCCTGGGGTTGGCCGTGGGCTGACCAACCCCCCGGCTCCACTGACGGCAAGCGGATGTTGTTCAGAGCAGCCCACTTGTGGCGCAGAAGGCCCAGCCCCGAGTGATTGCTGTAGTTGCCGGTGAAGCCGTCGGCCACCAATAGCCCTCTCTGGGATTCCATGTGATGTTTTTCCCGCTGCTTCTGGAACGCCTTTGTGAGCAACTCTTGATACATCACCAGGGTTGACTCCGAGTTCATGAAATGAGTCTTGGAGTCATTCCGTATGAGCATCACCTCGCCCTCATACTTTTGGTTCAGCTCAGTCACAAAGGATTCTTTCACTGCGCCCTTCCCAACGCAGATGAATAGAGGCCCCCTTTGGCCGCATGCCCAAGAACTTGTCACCATGGTTATACCAGCTCGAGCTCCAGATATTGCTGTCACCCTTGTCACAGCTTTTCTACCTGACTTTTTGCTTTGCTTTCGCATGGTAATTGCCTTGCTAGATCTCCATGGCTGCACCCAAGTCTGGTCATAGTTGAGCGTCAGTTCCAGGGGTATTTGCTCATCTTGACGGTACTTCTGGAATCGTGCTAAACTCCTCAAACAAAAGCTGCACACATGGCACAAACCACCCATGCAGTTCAAAAGTCTTATAAATCTATCTATCTATCTATCTGTCTATCTATCTATCTATCTATCTCAGCCACCCAATCCTGTAAAGTGGAAAAAAAGGGGAAAAGTTTCTCCCAGCCTCTGGGACATCAAACAAGACACTCTAGCATCACAGGGTCATCGGGTTCCAGGTACGTGCCGGCGGTGTTAACCTTCTGACGGCTGAAGCCATACTTCTTCTTGAGAGAGCGCACCATGTTTGGTATGCTCTTCAAACTTACCGGTTTTGGCTCCTCTAGCAAGCCGTCCTCACACTCCTCAGCCTTAATGCTACCATTGGCCAGCTCTGACAATAGGGATTGGTTGTGTCGGCGCACATCTTCAAGGCTTACAGCCACCTCTTCATTGACAGCTTCCACTGCCACCCGCATGGTCTCAGCAAGGTCAGAAAAGTCCACAGGTTCTGCCCTTCTGAAAGTCGAGCTTTCCCCCTCAGTGAGATCAATGATGACCTTTGCTATCATTTCCTCAACTTCACTTGGTAACCCATGTGTGTCTGCACACCTGCCCTTCAGCGGAGCATTCTTGAAAGCACGTTTCCACTTGTTTGGAACCTGGATCCATTTGGAAGCTAATTTATCTGGAATCATGTTCCATTGCCATCGGTGGTGCAAGGCTCGCCAGTGTGCATACCGGCGGGATCTATACTTCTCCGGAAACATGGACATCAGGTGCTTGTCCACCGAAGACTTGTTGCCTGCCTCTTCAAAGTCCAGGCCAGCTTGGACCTCACACTCCAGAAATGACAATTGATGCGAGGTAATATTTACAAGAGCACCCCAACACTGGACCATACCTATTAATTTTGTATTGCAAATCTTGAATGTAGGGGAATTGGAACCTGGAAATAACCACTCCTGGCACAATAACTGTCCAGCCGGGAAGCGATTTGGCGCTTCCAAAAGATGGAGAGTTCATCGCCAGGTTGACGGCGTTTGGGCTTCGGGCCAGGTTTCCTCAACCATTTGCTAAAGCGAGCCTTCTTTTTGCGTCTCGTGCCTGAAGACATCTTGTCGCTATTGGTGGGCTGGTCTGTATCAAGTGGCCTCTTCCGCTGCTGCAGCTTCTCTACAGCAGCTTCCTTGATATCCTCAGCAAGGCCCTCACACGCCTGAGCCATTTTCACCGCTTTGATGTGGGATCTTTCCTCCTGTGTTTGATGGCGCCGACCACGCCGTGACTGGAGGAATTTCTCATGGGGAGGAATTTCTCATGGTCTTTCCGGACGCTCTCTGCTGCAGCTTCAAGTCTGCCCAAGCCGACCAACATTTCCAAAGCTGTCCCATCTGGAAGGCCTTTGCTACGCCAAGCCTGCAGCAGATTTGGCATTGACTGCTTTTCACACAAGCTAGACAAAAAGGACTTCCAATCTCTCCCCCGTAAATCTTCTTCAACTGCTTTGCTCAGCACGCCCTTCATGCTCTCCACGCCACCATCGTGTTGCAGTATCAAATCAACCAGGATCGCACTGTGGTCTGCATCCTCAGGCCAAACTTCCATTTGCTCGTACCCATGTGATTGCAAGAGATAGCAGGCCAAAGTTCTGTAGCCAGCTGCTATTCTGAGGTTTTTAGTCTCAAGCACTTTCCCTCTGCAACTCTGAAAAGCTTCCAGTAGGTTGTCCACTGAGGAGTCTTTTGTCTCCTGCTCCTCCTGGCAAAGCTTTTGTGCCAGGTGTCGCTTTCGCAAACACTGCTTGATCTCATCCGTGACAGTGGAAGCGCTCAATTGCTTGGAGTGGCCCAACTGCAACCTGTCATACTTTCCACCATGAGCCACATAGATGTCCAAGAGGGTGTCTACCACTGCACCACCAACTGCTTCCTTGAGTTTGGGTGGCTCATGTAAGCCTCCAATTTGTAAGACATACGCTGGAGATGTGTGCTCAGACAGAACTTGCAGGTCTAATTTCACTCTCTCGTTTGAAGCATCTAGCTCCAAAGGCAAAGCCAAGCCGCACAAAGTAACCGCGCATTCTGCCTGGATTTTCTCAACAATTTGTGAGCAAGTTTCTCTTTGAATAAACTCCTCCCTTCTGATCCAAAACAGCATCCGCAGCCACTTGCGTTCCATCTTCTTGACTCGAACCTTCTCAGTGAACAGCAGGGGCACAAATGTTGGGTATTTCATGCGATCAGTCTCCCCAGCAGAAATGTACTTGACAATCAACTGGCGAGGCAAAATATAGAGTTCATTCTCAAGCGGGGCCTTTTTGGGAGCCTGTGCTGACTCATTCAACACTTCTTGCGCAAATTCCACCTCAAAAAAGTGACACTTGCCAATAGCTTTGGATTGCAACTTGCTCCCCGATGTTGATGCACTTGAAGATGGAGCTTCTGCAGCTGACTGCTTGCTGTCATTCTTTTCTTTGGATTTGCCTCCATTGCCCCCAGCTTCCTTGGCTTGGTCAAAAAAAACATTGAACACAGACTGTCATAGTTGCGGCTGGTTTGCTATACATCTTTTTTATGCCTTCTTGTAAAAGCTGAAGCCACATCCACATCCCCAGCCCTTTTTTGTGCCAGGTGTCGGGTTGAGTACCGGGCTGCCTAACTAGGAAGTATATATAAAATAAAAGTGCACCCAGCAGGAAAAAACATTGAACGCAAGGAGTCATAGTTGCGACTGGTTTTATATATCTTCTTGTAGATGCTGAAACCACATCCCCATTCCCAGCCCTGTTTTTGTGCCAGGTGTCGGGTTGACTATCAGGGCTGCCCAACTTGGAAGCATGAAAGTGCACCCAGCGGGAACGAAGCTGAGAAAGGTTGCCACTCTTCTTGAGGAAGTTTTTGGACATGAACAATTTCAGCTCTGGCCCTCCCAATATGCCTGCTGCCTTCTCCAGCTGGTCAACTTCAGTTTTGAAGCAGCAAGCCGCCCTGAGCGCTTGACGCTGGCTATCTATGGTGTCGTTGAATTTGAACTCCTCGTGAATTCCGTACTCCATTGCAGTGTAGCGGAAAAGCCTATGTCCTCTGTGAACACGGATTCCTTCTGTTCCTGCAATTGCCAGCAACTCCTCAAAAGTTGCAGCAGAATCAAACTTGTCATGGCTGGCTTGCTTCAGCTGCGGCTCTACTTTCTTTTGCTCTGTTGATTCTTTGACTAGTCTTACCCAAAGTC